GTTTTTTATAAAATAATAGACCCCGCCAAAGAGAAAAAAAAAAACAGTTTTTGTCCCCTCTGTATGTAAATGCAGTCCGGGTCCACATACGGCTCAGTGTGTGTCTGAGGGAGCTTGCCTGCAGGTGGCCCTGTGTTGTGTTTAAGTTGATGAGGGGCCCTTTGTCTCTATGGCTGCCACATGGCTCACAACACATTGGGTCACTGCTGCCAGCCACGACATGCAAGTTGCCTAGAGATCTGACCAGTCTGGTTTGGCACAGGGAGCTGGCAGAGAGAAGGGAAGCTGTTAATTTACCCCACAAGGAACTATGAATGGCTATAGCCTCTTGACTGCTTTCAGCTACGTGTCAATATCACACAAAACACAACATGTTAAAAACACAACAACACATAAATCCACAAAGTAGAAATAATTAAAATAGTCTGAATTAATGTTAGCTTTTCAACAAGCTGCCACGCATTTACAGGTCTCCTCCACCCTGATTATTTGTGATTCGTGTAAGTGCTTGCGTCAGATCTACTCGCTGACCTTCCTCCTGCTCCGTTAGCTGGCAGCGAGGTTCTGGTCCTCTTCCTGCTCTCTGAGTGGTCAGACAGAGCCAGCGATCCGATGCCGGTCTTACAACCCTGCACACCGGTCTGCATAATGACCTTGCTGCAGAAGAGATAAACATCAGTTAGTCGACGTCGTGTTTCAGATCAGCATGAATGTATTCGACCTGTGAGAACTTTTTACCTAAGAGACTGCGACGAAGACCGAGTGTGTATTTTATTCTCTTCTTGTCTGTAAAGACAAAATAACATGACTTAAATAAACAAAACTTCACGTATAGAAAGATAACACAGTGGAGGCAGAGGAGGAAAAGGCTGTGACGAAATGGGCAATAATTTTCAGAAAAATGATTAGCTTGTTAAAATATTAGCGCTGCCTTTAGCAGCTAGCTTTGGGTTAGCACAGCCAAATTAAGCAACAAGATAAGCCAGAGAGGTGCTTTATTAAACAAGCTTTAATTGTTGGGTAGTTTGATTTACCACTCAAAGAAAACAACTAGCAAAGCATGGTGTTCAGGAATGGCAGGATGATCAGAATGTGTGGTGTAAAATCATATACAGAAAATGGTGACAAGGACAAGTTGAGATTTCTAAAATCTGTCTCTGCTCATCATCTTTAAACTTATACTGACAAAGAATCAAATTTGAACAAGTTTCTAATTTAGGTTGGGAATAAGAAAAAATAAATTAAAAAGAGAAACCTTGAGCTCACTTACAGCATTCTCAGTTAGAGTTCCAGAAGTAGGGGCAGGACAGGTTTTTTGGGGGGGCTGACGGGCAGCAGAACTCAGTGAAATCCTAACCCGTCTATACAGAAATGCAGGATGGAAGAAGGGAAGCCATACACAATCCACCACAGGGCAAGGCTACACAGGGAGAGCAGCATGGCTACCAGCCATCTGAAAGGAGGACAAATCCAACAACAAGAGCAAAACGGAAAAAAAAAGAGAGAAAAAAAAAGGAAGGAGAGACAAGAGACGTCTGGSCAGGACACAAAGCCTTTGATGTGCTTTTCCACTGGGACTGGATTGAATAAACAACCATCATAAAACCTTGTATCCACCAGTGGCAGATATTGTGTTCTGTTTTTAAAAAAGTTTTACTTGTACTACTTTTACATTCACTGTTTTTTTTAACTTGTAACAAATCTTAAAACTATATATCCTTTAAAAAGATTAAAAGCTCTTAAACAAACTTGGGGGAAAGCATACAGCAGTTACCTAGCTGTTAATATCAGTTTGTCAATTTTCTGATTAAGCTTATAATTCGTATACTGAACTAAATAGTATATATCTTTATATTTATATTTAAGGGAGATCATTTCAAAACTTGCAGGAGTTACATCTCCGGTGGTCTGAAGACACTGATCCAGTCAGAAAAGCAATGGAAAACCAACAGGCCATCAACAATGATCCCAGCCCAACATTATTACATGTTAGACACAAACACTGCATGCATGCATGTCCAAGGGTTTCGCGCCTTATGCCATGCATGAGAAGGCAGAAGAGATGAAGGAAAGTGTGGGTAAACATTGTTCTGATCSTCCCTGGAATTCACCATGCAGTGCAGTGTTACGTAACAAAACAAACAGAGAAGCCAGATGGTGAAGTTCAGCTTGACATTAGATATTTGTGTAGCAGTGCATWTACTGATGCAGCTTACGCCCTAAAGCGCCGGGAAATCTCTCTTCTGCCTCAACTCCCTCTTGAGAATGAATGAGAACCCATTTTCATCCCATAGGATCACAGTAATCCTTTACATGAGAATGAGGATCAGGTGGAATTCATCCATCTAAACCAAATTAAAACTGAAACACTAACATAACTATTAACTAAAACAAAACGTAGCCTAATTACAGGAGCTGGCAAAAAAAAAAGCTCAGCAATTTTCTTCAGTAGTGCCAAATCAGTGCAAGCCAGGAACCGAAACGTTTAATTCAACTAATCCGGATCTCATTTCAAGCCCTGATTAGTTGATTAATTGGTGCTGCTGTTATAAAGTACAGTGGGCTTAATTTGAGAGAATATCTTCGACATACAATGACATCAAAGCAGAACAGCTCAGTGTGTTCATGAGGCAAATAATAAAAGCCGTGTCAATGCATATCCACTTCACACCATAGTCATACAAAATAAAAGAAAGAAAAGAGAAACAGGACAACTTCAAAAATCGGTCACACCGTCAGCCGTACACTTAACTGGCATGGCAACCATATCTACAGAAAGAGGATGTAAGCTGGAAAGGAAGTGACATGCACTTACCTCCTTCATACAAAACCTCACATCCTCTCTCTGTTTTCCTCTCCCCCACTATATCTCTGCTATCTTTTGAATGGCAGGCAACACATCGGCCACGCCGTGCCCATGAGGCTGCAGCAGAACACTACCACCTGCCTGACACAACAAAAGCCAAAGCCATATGGGTACATAGGCAGAGGCCTGTCAACCACCTACAGCCACGCTGACACTCAGACTTCCACAGCCTGATTTATGTGGGCACAAGTGATGTGGACAAAAAACTAATTGAGAGAAAATCCTTTTTAGCACTCTTTCTGATCAGCAGTGGGTTAGCATTAGCACTTTAGCACCACATAAAGCTGGCTAACAATATGCTACAATTGTTCATAATTGTCTAAATTGTTTCGTGTACAAATAAGACACCAGAAATAAGTGCAAAGACATGATTTAATTAGCTATATTTTATGCTTTTGATTCTCATCTTTGACATTTCCCAGATTAACTGGTTTCTAGTTTTAACAGCTTTAAGTTTACAGTCCTCTGACACACTCAGAAACACTGACGGTGTTTGAAGTTGACAGACTTGGGTTGCACTAATAAGTGTAAAAATATAACAATAAAGCCAACACATTATTGCTGAATATGGGTACAAATGTTAATATTTACAGCAAAAATACACATTTTACAACCTAATGCAAGAGAGGATAGGACACAGGTTGAAACATTTAAGAGTTTTTTTAGACTCAGGAGCTTAATCCACCTTAAACCTCTGTAACCACTTTTTTAAAATAAATGTTTAAAGTTCAATTTCAACAAATGCCAACTTAAGTGTTTCTGTGCAACGCATGATTGCCGAACAAATAATATAAATAAAATGCTGTTTGTCTTTCAAGAGTAATTTTCCATTTCAACACTAATCTAAACGTGTTCTCTCTGCTTTATCGATTACCTATTCCAAAGTCTTCTATTGACTGAATAAGAGGCCCAGTTACCCATCTGTGACCTCATGACCTACTGACTAGGAAGACATATCTAATTTAGTTAATATTTGTTTTCTCCCTCAGCTACAAGATTGTGACTGAAGAAGAAAGTTACCAGATCAATAGAGCTTCCTTTAAATAACAGATTCAAATGTTTTGTGCCGTTCTAAATCCAGCTCTTGAAAAAAAAGCAAACTCGTTTTAGCTGGGAGAGTGTGTGTCAAACAACTGTCGCTAACACTGTGCCGTAACATGTGAGCTGCTCCTTCCTTGAATCACTGTTCATCCTCATCGCTCACTGATTAAGGAGGATTATGGAATAATTTTACTGCACATTCAAACCCCAAAAGAGAGTAAAATGAAATTAAAATATTTTTTTATTACAACCAGTCCGTGTGAAGTGCTGGGCTAAAGGTCAAGGAGAGCAGCTGATACGGTTCCTAAAAGAATATCCTGAAGGGAAAGGGGAGTTTAGTATTCATCGAACATATTAGAACCAGAGCAGGGGTGTCAAACTCCAGTCCTCGAGGGCCGCTACCCTGCATGTTTTAGAGGTTTTCCAGCTCCAACACACCTGATTCAGTGATTGAATTAACTCTTCAAATTGGGCAGAAGCCTGTTAATCACCCAGCGATCAAAATCAGGTGTGTTGGAGCAAGAAAACCTCTAAAACATGCAGGATAGCGGCCCTCGAGGACAGGAGTTTGACACCCCTGCTCTTTCTGGTCTTCAAAGCTTAAGTTACCTATAATTTGAAAAGCACTAATGYGTATGTGTAATGATCAGAGGGGGCTGACATGGAAGGGGAGTCATATTACTGTTCTACAACACATGTAGGCGTGATGCATGATGAGGTTCGCTTTGATACTTACGACAGGGACCCTGAAGACGACCTGGCGTGCCTCTTGCTCTTCAGGGCTCGTAGTTTATCTCCCTGTGTGAGGCCATTTCTCTCCTCTTCATCATTGTACTGTAAAACAGAAAATTAAAAAGCAAATAACACTAAACTCTGTTTTCTTTTGATTTAATTTATTCAGTTTGCGTGGGCATTTTTCCCATCAATAATGTGTCGAAAGGGTCAAGTCCAACTTACCAGCTCTATTTCTTCTTTCTTGGATGCCTTGTTCTTGTTGTTCCCATTGATGGTTATGTCATCCACTCCAGACAGGATCCGGGTCACAGCCAGTTTGCCATTCTCTTGTTCATTCAGCATTTTCTCCCGGCAAACATCGCCATCCGCCCAGAGACTGTTCTGCTTCCTGGTTTAAAAAAAAAAAAAAAAACCACACAGACTCAAATGAATGAATGGCCACAAAACCTTCACAAAAATATGTTATTTTATAAAACACGAATCGTAGAACTATTAAAACCATGAAATAAAAATCCTTTTTTAGTTAACACCTACTCTTCAACAAAGTTCTGCTGAGGCCCAATGATAGAACCTGGTCGGCAGATGCGTATCCATGCGATAGCTTCTGCAGCAGTCAGGCGGTAATGTTTCATTAGGTAGCAGGCAATGAGCGTTCCGGTTCTCCCCAGACCAGCTTCAAATAAAGCAGAATAATTACTATCCTTTGCAATTAAAGGGATCCATGATTAGTTGTAACATTAGATTTTATTTAATAAAATATTTTACCTGTAAAATAAAGACTGTAAAAATAC